AAAGAGCTGCATCTAATGTATGGGACAAGGCGAGTTGGAGTTGAGGAGACAGATTGATGATATGATTGATCGTGGATGGATTAGGCCGAGCGAGTCTGAGTTCGCTTCACCTGTCTTGTTCCTTCCCCAGAAAGGAGGCAAACTCCGGATGTGCATCAACTATCATGGCCAAGGTCCATTGGCACAAGCCTTATGGTTTGCTTAAACCCTTCCCCATTCCTTTTTTTTTTTTTTTTTTTTTTGTTAAAACAGGTCCTTATTGTCCTGGCTCCGTATCCATTCTGGGGAGCGTCAGTCCAGTTCCTTTCCACCGGCAAGTTAAAAATTGAAGTACATGGTGAACACTCTCACGCTTTCTTCCGTCTGGCCGAAGGAACGCTGACCAGCATTGATTGCTCCATATCCGGAGGATTGATTATCATCTTGCCCTACCACTTTTCCTCTTAGAATCCATAATGACTCTGTCAGATAATTCGTATAAAGCAAGAAAAGGGGAGAGTTGTCTATGCTGTTAAGATTAAAATCTCAGTTTGCCCATCACTGGGTCACCGTCCTTGCTGGAGTTGCGCTGTGCCATTTCTTCCAAATCAATCTGTTATCTGTCACAATTGCAATCTTTCCCTGTAAAAGCCAGTTTCTCCTGAAAACCCGTCTCTTGATGGCTATCCTTTCTGGTCTGCCTTTCGTTGTTGATGTCACCTCCCTCCATCTGGATCGAATCTCAGTTCTAGTCATTCCCACCAGTAGAACCCACATTTCTTCTCTTGCCACCTCGGTACCTTCGATAGTCTTGGTGCATCTCCTTTCCAAATTACCCATAGGGCCAACTTTCTGAGCAGGTGAAACCAAACTTCCTTGCCGCCTTTGAGATTGTTAGTATTGTTGGATAGGAGCAGGATGTTCAGGGGAGTTGTGGGTGGAGGGGGCGATGAGAAGAGCAAGGACCATAAGTCGTGCACCTTGTTCCATATCCATGCTGCCTCCATGCAGTGCAGGAGGCAGTGGGGTATATCTTCCGGGATGTTGTCTGTGCATAGCCTGCATAGTTCAGAGCTGTTAGGGTCTGTATGTTTCCTCCTCTTGTGGAGCCATTGATTGACCGGTAGCGATGCGTGCGCCAAGAGCCACTGCATGCTTCGAATCCTAACTGGTCTAATAGACAGGTACTCGTCCATGGGATGGAAATGGGGTCCGTGAGGTTCAAATTCAGGATCTCTCTCCACTTTCCTTTGAGTCTGGGTTTTGGATTTGTGGTTTGTAGACCCAACTCATAACCGAATTTGACATCATATTCAAACATCATTCTCGTTCTCCCGAATTTGCCCTGCCTCCAGACCCATTCTTTCGGGTCGAATTCGAGGTCTGAAATGTTGAGGTTCGGTTGGAAGATTTTCCAAGGTTTGGCCTTTGAAGTCCTCACTTTTCTCAGTCGGAAGGTTTCTAGTGTGTGGCACAAGAGATCTTTGTCCTGGATTTCCAGCTCTTGTATGTTGTGATTATCGATGGGGTATGAGTAGAATTTAGATAGGTACCTGAGTGGGTTGGTTCGAGAGACGAATCAATATGCTCTGGTGGGCTGGGTTTGGGAGATGAGTATGCCCCAATCCCCGACTTGCCACGAGAAGTCCTCCATTAGGAGGGGGAGCCATTGTGTTGGAATGCTCTTCTGGATCAACGTTATGTTCTCAGCGAGGGAGTGACAACCTTTTAAGACATTCCGTAGTTCCTGTTCGGTGGCCCATCGTCCTAGGTCCTCTGCCCAGATGTGTTTCACCTGCCACACTCCTTTTTCCACCCAAGATAGCCATCTTCGGTCTTTTGTGCGTAGTGTCCATGTCGCACCGCTGGGGTCGGTGATCCAAGGGTTGCAGAAGAGAGGTTGTCTCAGGACCTCTTCTCTGTTTCCTGGTGAGCCGTGTTTCCTTGGCATCATTCTCCACCAGGCTTTGATGGTCGGACTCCAATATGAGGTGGTTGTTTGAGTGAGGGTTGTGATGGGCTCTGCAGGGTTTCTCCTGCGAGATCTGCCTGATTTGATTGCCCATTCCTTCGCCATGAGCCAGTAGAGACCTCTCATGTTCGGGGGCAAGTTTACGGGCGCCAGGTTTCTGATGTTGTCTAGAGCCATCTGGGTCCACGGGAGGGATTGTCTGATCAGGATCTTGATCATCCATTTCATTTGCATTGTTGTGGACTCATGTTTGGGGTCAATTACCCCAAGGCCCCCTTCCTAAGGTTTCCTCGTAATGTGGTTCCAGACTACCCTGTTGATACATGTGGTCATGTTGGGGTCTCCTGTCCACAGGTAGCATCTCACCCTGTTTTTTATCGTTTTGATTTCGTCATCGGGGGGAGACCAGATGGATGACATATACCACAGTGTGGAGAAGATAGTCGTGTTTATTAAAAGGCTCGTCCAATTAGTGAGGCCTGAGCATTTTTGCATAGGGTCAAGCGGGTGATTGCCCTAACTATTAGGTTCTGACCCATTCCTGGCCATACTCCTTCCTTGTTGACCATGATGCCCAGGAATCGTAGTGCTTGTTCTCCCGTCGTCCATGACATGGGCGTGGCAGTGTCGGATGGTGAAGGGGGGGGGCGTCGTCTGCTAGCCACCAACCTTCAGTTTTGCCCCAGTTGACCTTCATTTCTGATGCTAGCCTGAAGGTTTCCATTGCTCTTACGAGGGCTTGGAACGAACAATTATTGGCACGAATGAGGACCGTGAGGTCGTCGGCGAACATGAGTGCAGTGCATAGGGCGAAGTCGTGTAACGGGTTTCAATTGTGTTCAGTGAGACGGTCGATGGATGGATCTTTTCGAAGGAAGGAAGCTATGGCTTCCATAATGAAGAGGAATATAGGCGGAGCCAAAGGGTCGCCTTGTTTGACCGATCTAGATATCGGGTAGGTCTCCGATAGGATCCTATTGACCTGGACTCTGCCTGTAGCGTCTGAGTAGAGGACTTTCACCCAATTTCTGAAGTTCGGGCCTACCCCCATTTTCTCCATTGCATGCATGGAGAAACTCCCAATTGACTTGGGCGTAGGCCTTTTCGAAGTCGAAAAACAAGATTGCAACCTTCATTCTTTTTTCCGTGATCTTTTTTGCTGCTTCGTTAAGCGTCATCACGTTGTCCAATATGTATCGGCCCGGGATGAAGCCTGCTTGGTCGATGTGAAAACATTTGTTCGTTGGTTCTGTGATTCTGTTCGCAAGAGCCTTAGCGAGTATTTTGTAAGGTGTGGTGAGCAGCGAAATGGGTCTATAGTTCTTTAGATCTTCTTTGTCTCCCTTCTTATATAGCAGTGAAACAATGCTGGTACTCAGTTCATTGCCTAGGCCTTCTTTTGGCATGTTGTCGTTGAAAAAGTCGAGCAAGTCTTCTCCGAGGGTCGGCCAAAAGTAGCTCCAAAATTCTTTAGATAGGCCATCGAAGATCGGGGCTTTGTCATTTCCCATCTGAGTCAGGGCTATGTGTAGCTTGGCTAGGGTTAACGGATTGTCCAGGCCTTCCGCTTGGGTAGTCGAGATCATCTTGTCAAGGAAGGATAACATAAGTTGGCGGGCTGCTACGTTCGCTGTGGTCGGGGGAGAGGGTGTCTTCGATTCGTATAGATCTGCGTAGAATGCCCTAGCTATCCTGACCATTTCTGGTCCTGTTGTTTTGATGTTCCCTTGCTCTGTTGGGTCTTTGAGGCCCTCTATCATGTTGTTCTAGAGAAGAAGAATTTGGTCATGACTCGTTAAGTGAGTAATCAATCATCCTTGCTCGTATTTGTAGGCCCCTCACTTCTCATCTTCTCCACTCATTTAGTTCTTCCTTTGTATCAACTAGTAATTCCTAGAATTCACTAGAGGGGTCCTATGCCAGGTTAGCTTCTGCTACTTAGATGGCGAATTGGAGTTCCTCTCTTCTCCTCTTGCGGTCTCTAGCTATGCTTCTTGATTCTGTTGATACTGCTCGCGTTAGCTCTGCGTAGTTTTCGATGAACCATTGGTGTCTTTTTGTTTGTCTTAACTCGCACTGTTTATTGAGGGACCAATTTTCCTTAACTGCCACAGACATCCTCTCGGTTGCTAAGAGGGAGTTGTTCAGTATGAAGAATCCCTGACCTGTTTCCACTGGTGAATTGAAGTTGAGCAGCAATTGGGTAGGTTTGTGGTCCAATCCTTTGAAGGCTGCAGATGGGAGGATTTCGGCCTCTTTGACTGTACCTAGTCGACTCTCAAATATGAGGAAGTAGTCGATCCTGGACAGTGAACTACGATTGGCTTGGGTCTTTCGTATCCGGGAGAAGACTTTTTTGTTCGGATGCATTGCCCTGAGTGGGTCGATGAAGTCGAATTCTGTCATCAGATTTCGAATCCGGGTGCCCGCTCTTGTGGGGCCCATTAGTGCTGACGTGGAGATCCGGTCCAGGTTGGGGTCCAAGGTCGGGTTCCAATCTCCTGCGATGACTACCGGTTGCGGGTTGGGGATAAGGGTTCTGATGTCCTCAAAGAAAGTCAATCTTTCAGATTCCGTGTTAGGTGCATATACATTGAGAATTCTTAGGTCTTCTTCTTGCCATCTAATGTCAATCCAGGACCATCTCCCTTCCTCGCTGTCGCCCTCGCTATTAAGAATCTGTCCTTCTGTGAGAATCTTGGATGTTCTAGGGATGAGTATCGCCATCCATTTTTTGCTTTGGTCTTCTTTGTTGGACCATAGTGCAAATGTACATCCCCCTACTGCTCTCTCCACCCTCTGTTGTATCTTGGTGTGACTATTCAAGTTGGACAGATGGGTCTCTTGGAGGAGAAACAGATCGGGTTTGGGCTGATCTTTCCCCACCAGGCCCGTCCGGATATCTTTGAGTTTGTCTTCTTCGGTTAGGATATTTCCTAGGCCGTTGACATTCCAGCTTATTATCTGGAGCCCCTTGGCGTGCCAGTTGATCCTGGGTGGGCTGTCTTGCCCCATTTTTGTTCTCGCGGAGACCAACATTAATGTATACCTTGTTTCCATTTTTTTTTAATTTTTTTTTCCTTCCTCTTTTTCTTCCTTGGTTGTCTTTCTTACTTGGGTGCTGCTTGTGTGTATTGTTGTGTGGATTGGGTTTTAATAGTCTTTGAGGTGAGTTATTCAGTCCACTGCCACCTCAGTCTTGCTGCTCTCGGTGTCCGAGTCCCTGCTGTCCTCCTTCGCTGTTGCGGAGCCCAGGCTGTATTCTCCTGCGCTGCTCTCTGTCGACAGCTGTGGTCGTTCGTTGCCTCCTCCTGGGGAGAACTTGTCGCCCAAGACCAGATCCTCTTCTTCTTCGCTCTCCATGTCTTCTTCTTCCACCCCCACATCCACCTCAATGGGGGTGGCCTCGTCTTGCAATGAGGTCTTTGAGGTCAAGAGGTGGGTTCTAATGATATCGGCTAGGGAGTCCGCGATGATATTAGTCGTGCTGGATCTTCCGTTCAGCACATTGTACGGGAGCACTGTGACCGTGTTCCACGCCCTCCAGGTTAGGCCTTCACTGAGTTTTGTTTTCTCCTCGAGCTTGACCAGGATGGGGTCGAAGGAGGTAAGGATCTGCTCTTCCAGAATCTTCCCCTCGGATGTCAGCTTTCGTGGAGGGACCCCGTACACCCCCAGCGGGATTTTCTGCTGAGATGTTGTTCCTTATGCTCTTTGCCAGGGCTCTGTCGTCGTCAAGGGTGAGGATTGTGAAGGAAACGTCGGTGGCCACCTGCCACTCGTTGAACTTGCTTGACATGTTTGAAACTTTGGATCAATAATGAACAAGTTGGCATTTCGTTAGATTTGTTGAATGCTTCATTTTAAATCGGCCTTCAGTTTGTGTGATATGTAGGTGCTTTAGGGTATATCATGCGTCCAGTTTTGACATGTTTGGATCTTTTTTTTTTTTTT